AGAGCTGGAGAGAACCCGAGGATTCTATTAGAGCTTGATCGAGCCCTAATCTGATTCTATCAGGGGGAGGGCCCCCCTCCCCCCCGTTCGAACCCCCCCTCTCCCCTGGACAGGGGGGGGGGGCCTTCGGAGGGCCTCACACCTCCCCCAATTAGGGAGGCTGGTGTCCCGGGGGAAGGGTCTCCGAGCGCGCCAGATGCACGGGGGCCCCGGGGGGGGGGCTGGTTATAATCCAGTTTACGACAGCAGCCTTTGTTTTCAAACTCTTGACGGGCGGCCCGGTGCTGCGAAAGCTCGAGCATGACAAAACAGTGTTACTCGTCGCACGATCGTACCGGATTTCCCGCTCTATCAGGTATCCCCAGATGTGTACGAGAGCGTACGGGCGCGAATGGATCCTTGCGTGAGGAAGACTGAGTGGTAGTCCGAATGCGAGCGCTGCTTTCTGCTGCTCAGAGCTGGCGAGTCTCTGCCGTTCAGTATTGCTCTCTCTGCTGTGTTGTGGCGCTTGGCGTTGATCTCTTTCGGCTTCATTCGGCGTCTGGCAGGGCACCCGCGTGAACATTTTGGCGCAATGCCAGACGCAAGTTCGCAACAACATGGGCGTATTGTGGCGGCAACGCGGCCACTGAGTACAACGAGCTTGAATTAGAGCGAGCTTGGGCACTCATGGTCACATTTGAATTGTATGAAGTGCGCGCGGCAGAGCACATTTGATTTGCATGCACCAGGGGGGCAAGCAGTGATTCAGTCAGCGGTGAAAATGCACCTTGCATCGCGATAACCTGAACCCTGCATCGCCGTCTCTGGACGCGGACACGAGTGCTGCACATGCAATCTGAGCGCGAACGGGCCCGTGCAGCACTCCTGGTCGGCACACCCTTGTGTAGCCCGAGCGTCATGCCAGCGACATCGCTATGGTCATGCCCTAGCAGTGCTACATTGCGGTGGTCATGGGGTTCCTCTGGATAAGCAGCTTCGCGCTTGGGCTGAAACAGGCTTTTCGCGAGACGTGTCCCAAAATCCGAGTGCGACGGGCCCGTGCAACAGCCCTTGGTGGCTCCCCACTTGGGATGCCCAGGTGCCAAGCTTGCTACCTCGTAGCCATCATTGGCCCGTGAACGAGAAACGTCCGCTAGTCCGAAACAGACGTTTCGCGTGAAGGGTCCCCCCGCAATCTTGGCGCGAACGGGCCCGTGCAACATTCCTCTGCAACATCGGGGTGTGCATGAGACCCTGAAAACAGATGCTGCCCATTGGGCCGAAACAGGCGTTTCGCGTCACATGTCCCCACAGCACAGCCGCTAACGGGACCTGGCAACATGATTTTGCGGTTGCCTTTCTGGAAGTTCACCATGTGATATTGCGGCAACCATGTGTTGTTGCAAAGAGACGCTTCCACTGGGCCAACAGGCGTTTGACCTGAGCGGTCCCCGCAATGTGGGCGCGAACAGGCCCGTGCAACACCCCTGGTCGCCCCGATTTTTGGATGGCCCGAGTTCAGTGCCCGCAACTTCGCAGTGATGTCGGGGCTCTGAACGGAGACTCGTCCTCTAGGCCGACAATGGCGTCTCGCATGTGCGGCCTCGGGATCTGGGCGCGAGGGGCCCGTGCAGCACTCCGTGGTCTGCTACATCGCGTTGGTCATAGGGAGACACGTCCACTGGGCCCAAACAGGCGTTTTGCCTGAGATGTCCCCAGCACCTCCTTGAGTAGCTCAAGTGGCATGCCTGCTGTGTCGCGGCGACAATGGACCTTTGGAAAGAGATTTGCCCATTAGGGGAACACAAGTCCACGCAATTTTGGCGCGTTTGGGTTTTTGCAATAATCTTCGGTGTTTTGTTGAAGCCCAAGTGCAATGCCTGCTGCATCGCGTTTGTCATAGATCCTGAAACGAAGCGAATCTCATGAATGGCCCAGTGTGTGCTGAATGCGGGCGAGGCAAATGATGAGTGAACCTCAGTGTGACTGCGTGGAGGTGTGAGCAGCTTTGGCTATGAGCAGTTGGGTCTCAGTGGATCTGAGTGCGACTGGCGATGGACATGAGTATGCGTAAGAGGTTGGGCGGATTGGTTGCCTTACCGATTGAAGCCAGCACTTCAGGCACGGGTGACAAACACAGTTGGATTGCCCTCCTGAGTGCTTTTTGTGCATCATCGTGAAATATCAGGTCGGCTTGAATTTCCCGCCCATTCAAGGTCTCGTTCCGTTTTATACCGAGGAGGAGGATGAGGATGATGATGAGGAGGAAGATCGCACAGTATGGTGGAGAAGGAAGAAACACATGCTGTTCAGCCACTGCCCCCTCGGCAGTTGGTGGTTGAACCGGTCAATGCCCCTTCCTCCATCTTCTCCCATTTTTGGTATTGTCCCTCTTCGACTTCCTTGTTTCTCCTCGTCATCCTCCGCGCCTTCGTCCTCCTCTTTATCGTTTCCCTCCTCCTGATGGTTCTTCTTCATCTCCTCATAGCTGCTGATACAGGGTGGAGTGTACTTCCCGTTCTCTGAGGGCCAAGATTTATTTCAGATTGAGGATGGTCGCACGGTGCAACAAGAGGAGGAGGAGGAGGAGGAGGACGAGGAGGAGGAGGAGGAGAAGGAGGACGACGAATGAACAGGAACATTTTTGCAATCCCCGCCCTCCTTGCACGGGCTGTTTGAACAGGCACCCTTCCCTCCTCCACTCTATCATGTTGCTCACTGTCCTTCCTCCTCGGAGCGCTCTGGGGGCCTCTTGGGGGCAGTTGTGGGGCCTTTGGGGAGCCTCTTAGGAGCCTCTTGGGGGCATCTTGGGGGCCTCTTGGGGCTTCTTGGTGGCCTCTAGAAGGCCTCTTGGGGCCATCTTGGGGCCTCCTGGGGCCCTCTCCGGGCGGAAAGCTCGAAGTTTCGGTTCATGGCCCCTCTCTCGGCTCTTGGCCCCTCTTGGGACAGCCTTGGGGTCATCTTTTGGGCCGTCTTGGGCGCTTCTTGGGCCGTCTTGAGGGGGCCACGAAACAGGCGAGATGCGTGCCGAAACAGGCGCGGGGCCGCCATACGAACGAAGCCATTGTGGCTTTCGGTGGAGCTCCCATGGGGCCACGAAGCGCGCGAGGGGTGCGCCGCCGCGTCCCGCTGGACAGCCACTGGGGTCTTCGGTGGAGCTCCCCATGGTGCCGCGGAAAGTGAGGGGTGTGCCGGATCGGTTGCGGGTACGCCATGCGAGCACAGCCACTGGCAGCCATTGGGGCATTCGGTGGGGCTCCCCTGAGGGGTAACGATGCGTGACAGGGTGTGCCCAAGGGGCTGCGGGTACGCTTTGCGAACGCAGCCAATGGGGCCCTCGGTGGAGCTCCCTATGTGGCCGCCAAGCGTGTGAGGGGTGTGCCGGATCGGTTGCGGGTACGCCATGCGAGCGCAGCCGCTGGGACCTTCGGTGGAGTTCCCCATGGGGCCACGAAACGTGTGCGAGCTGTGCCAAGTCGGGTGCGGGTACGCTATGCGAACGCAGACCCTGGGGCCTTTGGTGGAGCTCCTTTTGGGGCCACGGAATGTGTGAGCGGTGTGCCTGATCAGGCGCGGGTACGCCATGCGAACGCAGCCATTGAGGGCGTTTGGTGGAGCTCAGTATAGGGGCCACGAAACGTGTGAGGGGTGTGCCGAATGGGGTGCGTGCGCGTCATGCGAACGCAGCCATTGGGGCCTTCGGTGGAGCTCCCTATGTGGCCGCCAAGCGTGTGAGGGGTGTGCCGGATCGGTTGCGGGTATGCCATGCGAGCGCAGCCATTGGGACCTTCGGTGGAGCTCCCTATTGGGCCACGAAGCGTGCCAGGGCGTGCCGCCGAAACAGAGACATGCGGAGGGGGTTGGCAGGGATGGGAGGAGGAGGAGGAGGAGGAGGAGGAGGAGGAGGAGGAGGAGGAGAAGGAAGAGGAGGAAGGAGGACAAGCGAGGACCCAACACCAGATGATGGTTGGGACAAACTCCTTGTCGCACCCAGACGTGTCAGTAGAGTGGGCTGGGCGTTTCGCCTGAGACTTATTCACCACTTCTGATCCTGAAGCTTGAAATTTGCAGCAGTTTCATGGATGCAGGGCGGATCATGTTCAAAATGTTGGCCTCGCCTTAGCGCTGGGCGCAATCGTTTTAGAAATTTGCAACAGTTTCAAGGATGGAGGGCGATTCCTTTTCAAATGGCTCTCGCCTTAGAGCCGCGCGCATTCGTCTAAAAAGTTCGCAGCAGGTTCTAGGACTCGGAGGGGTGAACTCCCAGGAAGGGTACTCTGGCGCGATCTAGGGTTGTCAGGACGCAGCAGTTACGTTGATTCGCGGTGTTGACGTCTGGCACGTACAGTCACGTTGGTTCGTTTCCAGGAGTGGTATTACCGTACGGTTGCAGATTCTTGGGCAGCTGTTTTTCAATTGGGCATTTCCCACAATGAACATAACTACTCTTAGGGTCCTATGTGAAAAGGGAATTTGGAGGCAGGGAATGGCGCGACATCGTTGATGCGTCTTGAGCTTACGCTGGTCCTGCTGCTCCTCCGCTCCTGCTGTTGTTCCTCCCGAGACGTGTCCTTTCCCTCCAGCTCTCCCTGCTATGTACGTTTTGTTCGCAGAGCCTGCAGGGTGGTCGCACTTTCGTTCCTGTGCGCGGTGGTCTGGGCTGCGGCGTTAGTTGTTGGCTCAATCCCAAGCGCCATCGGGTTACAGGGTTGCCACCCCCTCACCACTTCACCTCAGCTTCCACTTCCATGCTGCCCACTCCTCGTGCATCGCCCTTGTGTGTCATGCGTCGATTGTTCAAGGAAGCGAAGACATGGATTGATGCGCGTGGAATAGCGACGGGTCCCGTTACTGTGCGCAATCGGAGCGTTCCGTCCCCAAATTTGGCGGCGTCAGCTGCATGTTTCGGGGGGTGCCCATGCGCCAGATCTACGAATCCTTACTCCACGTTGGCGTGCGCCCGAATCACGCGCCTTCATTTCCCAATACGTCGCCCTCTGTTCCTCCCTCCCCAACAGGACCTGAGAGAGGAGATCCAGGGCGCCTTCGAGAAGATCCTGCTCCCCCAAATCCAGAAGGATCTGGCGAGGGTTTGCGCCTCTCCCCTTCTCCTGATCCTCCTCCGCCCGCCTCCACCGCCCTCTCCTCTTCCACTAATTTTCGTCCTGTTCTGGTTCTCAGTCGTTACCCGTGGCCTCCTACCATAGTGCCCAACTCTCCGTTCTCTCTGCCTCGTCTCCAGCCTCTCGTCATGCAGGAGCTGTCGTCGCTCAAGGATGATTTCCAGGACATGCGGCGGGACTTGCACCTGCTCTCGTCCAGCGGCCCCGCGAGAGTTGGCTCGGCGGTGAGCGGCAAGAGCAAACGGATCGCTTCCCCAAGCGCGCCGGACGCCACGCTGAGACGGAGCGCTGCCCCCCACGCAGCGGACTCCACACTCAGCATCGGGAGAGACAACGTCGGTCACGGCAGCAGCGGCGCCAACGGCACACGGCAGTTGCGGGTGTCGGTGCGGAACTCGTCGTGGCAGCCGGCTCAGCCAGCATGCGCGAAACCGCGCCGGACGGAAGCCGAAGTAATTATTCAGACGAAGCCGCCCCGGCCCTCGCTGCGAGTCCCGGGCCTCGTAGTGGGGTTGTACGCCACTCCATCACATGGCGCACCTGGACTCCCCAACTCCATCTCCGAGGCCGAGGACGAGGACAAGGAGGACAAGGAGGACAGCAGACCCTCGTTACAACCGCCAGTCCAATCCTCCCCGCCTCCCCTTCCCCCTCCTCACCCTCCTTCCCTGTTATCCTGCTCCCTCCTCCTCCTCCTCCTCCTCCTCCTCCTCCTCCTCCTCCTCCCGCTGGGCCTCCGCACCCATCCGCTTCAACTTATGAATGTAAGCCAGCGTGGACCCCAAACAGGGAGGTATTGCACTGTGGGTGTGTAGTCTATGTGGTGTAAGTCATGTGGTGCAAGCTATCTGGTGCAAGCTATCGGCTGTCGGGTGCGGCTGCAGGAGGCTGCTGCAGGCGGCTGCGGCGAGAGGCGACTGAAGCTGAGGTGCTCGTGGTCGTTTGCGCGTGCTCGCTAGCAAAGAGAGCATCCACAGAGATGCTGCCCTGGCATCCGTGGCTGGAGCCGTTAGCGTGCGCGCACTGAGCCTGCGTTCGTGGTAAGTCCGTAACACAAGGTGAAAGTGGTGAAGTCTACGTGGTGCAAGCTCTGTGGCGTAAGCTATGTGGTGCAAGCCTTGTGGTGTAAGCTACGAGGTGGCTTGGCAACGAAGCGGCAACGGGCGGCAACAGGCGGCAACGTCAGCATCGAGGCGAATCCTCGGCGTGGACCGCCCCAGCGGCAGCGAGGCGGCAGCGGGCGGCAGCGGGCGGCAGTGGGGCGAATCCTCAGCAGACCCCCCGAGCGCCACGGCAGCGGGCGGCAACGTGGCGAGTGTTGGCGGCAGCGGGCGGCATCAGGCGGCAGCGGGCGGCCAAGTGGCGAAGCCCTGGCGGACCCCCAAGCGGCAACGAGGCGGCAGCGGGCGGCAACGTGGCGAATCTTTTGCGGACCCGTCCACTGTCTTGAAGACGCACATGAGCGACCCTGGGTGCAAGCACTGATTGGGAAGAGCCCCTGCATGTCGCACCCGCGTGCGTGTCGGTAGGGCGGCCCGCGCGTTTCGCGCCCCTGGTCTCTTCGCTTTCTCATGATCTTGAGGCTTGAAACGTGCAGCAATCACAACGATAGGGCACAGGTCGTTTTCAACATGGGGCGCTCGCCGCGGCGCCGCGCACATTCGCCTTCAACTGATCACAACAGTTGCACTGATGTGCAGCCGGCTGTTCTTTTAAAGGGGCCCTCGCCGTAGCGCAGCACAGATCCGTCCTACAAACTTGCAACCAAGACAAGGATGGAGTGCGGGCCGTTCTCAGAACGCATCTTTCGCTTCGACGCCGCGCGCACGTTGCGCAACATCTTGCAACAGTTATGCATGGAAGGCGGTTCCTTTCAAAATGGTGTCACCGCCTCAGCACCGCGCGCCCTCGTCGTAAATATCTGCAGCAGAGTCAGGAATGGAGGGCGGCTTCTTTTCAAACTGGAGTTCTCCGCAGAGTCCTACAATGTTGTCAGACCTGCAGCGTGAGCACCTGAAGCAGCTGCACAGGTTGATGGCGGTTCCTTTGTTGAATGGGGCTGTCGCTTGAGCCTTCGGGCCGTACAACCACAGGTGCAAGAGTTGCGCAAACGGGGTCGATTCTTCCTTGAAGTGGGAATCTCGCTAGACACACCGTGGAACCGTATGTATGATCATACCTTTTCCGCTTTTTCCTGATTACGAGCGGGAAAGATGCAGGGCTGGTCCTTTCCAGAACGCGGCTCTCGCCTGATTGGCAGGTCCCTCCGGTGCTGGTCTTTCGAGGCGGGCGCCTCTGGTAGTGGAGGGGAAGGCGCGCATGGACTTGCAACGAGGGGGCTTGGGACGGTGACTACGTAAGGTGTTTTGCTTCGTCTGTGATGCACATCGGGTTGTTCGATCCTCCTCCTCCTCGTCCTCCTCTTCCTTCTCCGCCTCCTCCTCCTCCTCCTCCTCCTCCTCCTCCTCCTCCTCCTCCTCCCTCGTTGGAGACGGCTCTGGCGGGGGGAGCGGGGGGAGGGACCGGATTGGTGGGTGAAACGATTGGTCTTCCAGAGGGTGCCGAGGGCGATGAGGCGGAGGAGAGCCCAGTGCACCCCGCGGCGCCCGCCTGCTCCCCGCGCCAGATGATGCCGCTGGACCCGGAGCCACCGATCTCTCTCGCGGACTACGCCAGCCCAGGGAGTCCCTGCCGCACTCCCCGGGAGGGCTCCATACTCGTTGCGCCGCGCCAGTCCCTGGCGCCGGTGCCCAGCGGCGAGGAGGAGCCGGGTGTGGCGAGGCCGAGGAACCAGGTGTCGTGGCATCGGGACCTGGACGCTGACGATACTCCCGCCAGAGACCATCAGCGGAGAGAGACCACCGGGACTCAGTGGAGAGGCTCCACCGGAGCGTCCTTGCGGGCAGGGGACTCTCGCAACGGAGCTTCACAGTTGAGATCCAAGGTGCTGAAGGAGTCTCTCATGGCCGGCAAGTCTCTTGAGAACATGCGCGTATCTCTGGCAGTGGCGAACGCCGACAAGAATAGAAAGACACCGTTCACTGAGTGGATGCGGAGCCTGGCTCGGCCGGAGACGTACCGCGGCCTGACGCCCGCAGCGGTTCTGCAGAGCGTCAGGTTCGACAACGTCATCAGCCTTGTTATCAAAGACGCCTGCGGCGAGTCACCGCCGTCCCGTGTCTTCTTTCAAGGAGCAGCTGGAGGTGCAGGAGGAGGCGAAGGAGGAGGAGGAGGAAGAGGAGGAGAAGAAGAAGAAGAAGAAGGTGGAGGAGGAGAAGAAGGAGGAGGAGGAGGACGAGGAGGAGTTGGTAGACGTTCTGTCGGCGGTGCGCCCAGAGGAGAAGGCAGAGGGGCGGGCCTTCTCAGAGGGCACGGAAGGCCTTCGCGTAAGCCTCCGCGTCTGTTATGGAGGTCGCCGCGGCGATCGCGGCGGCCACGAGTCGTGGCAGGGTTTTCGTCACGGAGTGGCATGCCTTTTCCCGGTCCCACCCCGCTCTGCGATGCTGGCATGGCACATAATTCCCAATCTAGCGACAGAGAGTTGCCGGCGCATGTCCGACATGGGCAGTCATGTTTTCCTAGTTAGGGTTCGATGATCACACAACTGCCTCTGGCTTTCTGGAGGGCTTTCTGAGCATTCCCCAGAGACAGAGACGGCTTCTCAGAAGGCAGGGGAGCTTCTGAGAAGCCACGCCGCCTTCTGAGAAGGCCTGCCCCTTCTCACTTCCCCCCTCGACGACTTTGATTGGACATGTCGAGCGAAAGTGCGGCCATTCTAGTGGACTGATGGTTCACCACCCACTTGGCAAACTACTGGAGAATCCCTGGGGAGGGACCATCTAGGGGCTGGTCATCTTGGGCGCTCTTGAGGGTCTCCTGGGGCTCTCGTGGGCCATCCTGGGACTTTCTCGGGCTGTCTCGGGGCGCTCTTGGGCCGTCTGTCGCCTTCGGATGTCGTCTTGGGGGCCCCTCTGGGCCGTCTTGCGGCGCGCTCGCGGCCCTTGAGTGCCGTCTTTGGGCACTCTCGGCCCGCCCTGTGGCCCCTCTTGGGCCGTCTTGTGCTCCTCCTGCGTTGTCCTCTTGGGTTGTTGTAGCCTCTTTGGGCTGTCTTGGGCGTTCTGAACTCAAGGCCGACCAGGCGAGAATCCGACGGAATCCCCCAAGATGGCGCAAGAGACCTCCAATGCCATCTTGGCCATCTGGGGAGCGTCTCGAAGGCCAACTTGACACGTCTTGGATGTCTCCTCCTCCTCCTCCTCCTCCTATTCCTCTTCTTCCTCCTCTTCCTCTTCCTCCTTTCTCCTCCCCGGCCATTGTTTGCATCCACTCTGCTCACTCGATTTGCTGCCTGTCTCACACGGTGTGCTCTAGGACACTCTCCCATAATTGGAAAGCTGGCAGTTTTCATCACGGGGGGCTCTATCAGGCAAAATGTTGGAGCGTCTTGGAAGCCACCTTGGCCGTCGGGGAGGCGGGTTCTACGCGCCTTGCGATTCGCGCGGGGCGTCCCGGGGCAGAGGGCACAGGGGTCGTAGAGATTGAGAGGGGCAAAGAGCGCTCTCAAGTCCAGCGCGCCAAGCCCCCCGCGTGGACAGACCACAGGGTCGGCGGCGCGCCGATGGGGAAGGCAGAGGGGCGGGTCTTTTGTCGGAAGCCTCAGACGGCAGCCGGCCTTCTAAGAAGCTTGCTCAGCCTCCTCCAGAGGCACGGACGGCTTCTAAGAAGGCCAGGGAGCTTCTGAGAAGTCCCGCCGCCTTCTGAGAAGGCCTGCCCCCTCTCACTTCCCCCCTCGGCTCGCTGCCGACTTCAGTTCAGCGCGCCAAGCACCTTGCTGGGACAGAACGCAGATGTGCTTCGCACTCTGTCGCCGATGTGTCCTCGGCTCCTCCGCAGTCGGATTGGGAGCCCTTGTGCGCCATCTTGGGTTCTCTTTGGCAATCCTGGGCCATCTTGGGGCGTTCTGCGGCTTCCTCCAGGGGGCTTCTCCTGGCCGGGTGAGTTACACGGGGATTTTTTTTTGTCAGCGCGAAAGCGCGAAGCGTTTTCAGCGCGAGAAAATAATGCTGGCGGCAGGAGCCATCCTCCGCTTTCCCTCTTTGGCCGCTTTTGGCCTTTACCGTTTCACCTGCAATGCGGAGCTGGCCGCGAGTGAATGCTGGGGCATTCATGTTGTCTCGTGCGAGACTGTTGCGTGTTTGGCACGTGTTCGCTCGCCTTGGTGCTCCTTTATGGAGCGGCGGTTCCGTCTGTCTGTCTGTCGGTTCGTCGGCCTGTCGGTCTGTCTGTCGTCTGTCAGTCGTCGTTTCTTTAGCGGGCTGTGCGAGGGCGTGCTGCCTTCCGTCAGGCCACAAGGCGCGCTGCCTTCCGTCGGGCGCACACGCGCCAGGCTTGCTGCAGCCCCGCAATGCTCAGCTGCGCGGCTTTTCCCGCCCGCCCACCCTGTCGTCGATGCGGCAGTTTTAGGCGTCCTGCTGGGCGTGGGCTTGGCCTGGGAAGGTTGCCCAGGTGCCCAGCCCAGCAGCAGGCGTCACGTCTTCCCAATGCCCCTGCGGAAGAACGCCGTGGGATTTTCTGGTGGATTGAAAGTTTCAACAGTGCGATAATTTCGTAGAGAGTGCAAACGCCACGAAAGGGCACCACGCAAAAACACGACGCTAAACTCCTGAGATGTGAATTGAGCACCGCGCGAAATCACAATGTGAAAAACATCTGGGGCGTTATTGGAGCGTCTGGGGGCGCTACGGCGGCACTCCTGTGGAGCTCCTCAGACGCTCCTGGGGCGCTTCAGTGCCGCACTGGCCTCCCTTGGTGGTCTCACTCCTACCTTGTTCGCGCTGCGTCTCGGCCTTGAGCCTGGTTCACCCGGAGAT